CAGTCAAAATGCAAACAAAAAAGAAACAACTCTGATGATGATAATTATATGCACTGTCCTTGAAGTTGATTGGTCCACAAAAATCCGTCTCGGATGTGGACCAATCAACTTCAAGGGCAGTGCATATAATTATCATCATGAGAGTTGTTTCTTTTTGTTTGCATTTTGACTGCTTGTGTTGTGGTTATTGCAAACATGATGCCTTGTATAAAGGTGTCAGTTTTTGTACCAGTTTAAAGGGTAAAAACCTACTACTATATTTAGCCACTGGTAAAGGAGGTCTCATAGTGTAAACTTTTACATTTTGTAACAGTTTCCAAATAATAATATCCGGACCTGGCTGCGAACGTGATTTTACGCCACAATCAGCCTGTGATTGAAGTGCTGTGCGATCTTTTTTGTTTGTTTACGTGCTTTGGTGCATCTCTCTCACTCCCTTCCCTGTCTCTGACCTGACCACGAATGTTGCATCCATATTTTGCCGTTGATGTGAGCGTGACAGGTTATCAGAACATATCAGGGGGATGCGGCTTTTTTTATTCAATTCTTTGGAGTTGGCAAAAAGCTATTCAGTCTACATTTGCGAGAGGAAAGCTGGAATGTATAAAAGGTTTCCAGTGGCCCTGAGGAGAAGGCTATTTGCTTGTCTTGTGCACTCAAAGGCTCGTGTGAGGAATGGAAAGGTTTCTCTTCATTGCACTAATAGGCTCAATCCCACACAAAGGAGCAATATGCACGAGTGTGGCAGTGGCAGCAGATATGTATTACCACCACGACATGATTTTGGTCATAAAAGGTCATGCATTCTCAACATTGTCACAAGACAATTGCGTTTTGTAACTTTAAAAAAACATTACCAGACCAAAACATTGTTGAAAACAAACCTGAATAACAATACGTAGTTTGTTGTTGTTATCAAGCTCACTTTAAATTGCATTTCTTAGTTAATCATATATCTGTGGCATGTAATCTTATGAATTATCATAATAATAATGTATAGCGCTATGTAAATCCACAGCTGGATGAAGGTCTCCCCATGCTGTGTAAAAGCCATGGAAGTTATCTGACCAAAATTCACTATGGCCAGGAATCAAACTTCGGTCATCGGATTCATAGCACAGTATGCAAATCTCTCCGCCATCCCCCCACCTCACTCTTACGAATTGCAGCTACATTGCACATGTCTAGATACATAGCAACGCATATTTGCCAAGATCACAGGTATATAGACAATACAGTACACAGTAGTTATACAATATTACGATTCTTCCATACAATGCCAGCTATTCTGCAGCGTTAAGGAGCTAACCAATTAAAAACATAAATAAAATAATCACTACGTGGCATGTTATTTGATCCAAGCAACGTAAAATTAACAAGCTTTTATCAAAATGTGTACTGCCTGCAGCGAAGAGAGCAGACGTCTGTGCCACACACTGTTTCTGTTGTCACTTCACAGCTCATTGAATTGCACAAGGTCAACTCAGATAACCCGTTCCTGCCATGTGTAGGCTGGCCAGCAGCATTCCCCCTCAATTTATCACCAGGTACCACGCAGGGGTTTGGAGAAACATTATAATTCATATTGGAAATGGCAAAAAGCCCAACCGCAGAGTGTTTTTTGATAGGACTTGGATGTGGAAGTGGGGTTGTCTGCAACCCGCGTGGCTTACGGCGCCAGGTGACACTGCTCCTCACAGTATGAGGACTGCGATGATTGCCTGTGAGGGGCACATCCACTCTCTGGGTGTAGTGGGGGTCCGCATACCCCAAGATGTTTGGACATGGATAAGAAACACCCACACAATTTTGGACAAGAGAATCACGGTATCTTGTTTTTATAGTCCTTGCTTTTCTCCCTTCAACAATGTGACAATAATGCTGATAACGGTGCTGATAACAGCACCGTTAAATACACATTAGCGCAAAAAAACAGCAGCCTCAGTACTGAGTCAGGAGCCAGTTAATGTGATAGAATGAGAGTAAAGTAGAACAATTATTCCTGACTAAGTAAGGGGTGAACTTCACGGATCCCATCAGCAATCGAACCAATAACCGCCGGGAAGCCACCTGTTCGTCACACGCCCCCAACTTTCACATTGAGGCCGTGGCCCTGGTGCCTTTGCTTGACAGTGGCTTGGCGTCAACGTGACCTCACTGACCCACGCACCGCATTGCCTGTGTGTAATCGTCGCTCCACAGAGAACGGGAGCAATGTGTTTCCACACCTGTGTGCTGAACTAGTAACGAATTGGCATGTTGTGTTTACGTGGCAAACCGTACTAATTGTCTGTGTCAGGTGGTGGTGGGTTTAACGACACATTTATATTTACGCCCTCTAGCTCAAAAACCTCTATTATGGATAATATTGATCGTGAAAGCCTACTTGTTAAAGTCACGTCACCATCATGAAACAGACTTTAAACATGTGTACATGCTATATTCTTGGTTCTTTCGGTAAAGTCACGTAGAAGGGAAAAAAACATAATAATATTTTTATTATTTTATTATTTCCCTTCTACGTGACTTTACCAAAAGAACCAAGAATATGAATCCCTGCAGTCACGAAAGCCTTACATCTTAATGTTTAAATGCTATTGTACAGCAACTGGCTTAGAACGATAAGTTGTCCTATGGAGAGACTCGCCTTTTGTCACAGCAATATGGAATTTCCACAAATGGCTCAGATCGACTCAATGGAGCTGGTAACCCTTTCACTTTGTTGATTCCCGTTGAAAGGCAGGTTCACATGTGGTGGGGTAAAGTGTGGGTATTCCTACCTATTCCAAGACATCTCGCTCGTGCAGCCGAGTGAGCTCGCCTGTGATTTATCACACTTATAATTGTGCACTCTGCAGTAAATGGGAACCCAAGACACCAATTTGTATAGCTATGGGTATCCAGTGATTCAATGATGATCAGGGATTGGACCCCGATCCTCCATGTGCACAGCAGAATACGGGGCACGCCACCCAATTTAGATTTGGGAAGAATTCGTACTAAGGAATTCAATTGGGGTGTTGTGACGTGGAAAATGTTTTCGATCGCTATTGTAGATATGCAATTTCCCTTACGAGAAAGGCTTTGAAATAAAGTTACGCCGTTTCACCCCCCCCCCACCCCCCGGTGCTCAGTTGTTGTGGAGTCGCACACTTCTATTCATCGTCTCCGAACTTTATTATTTTTTAAATAGTTTTTATCATTTAAAGCTTTCGTGACTGCAGGGATTCATCTTCTTGGTTCTTTCGGTAAAGTCACGTAGAATGGAAATAATAAAATAATAAAAATAAAACAATAAAACAATTCTCACGACGTTTCGGCCACAACGCAAGCAGCCGTCCTCAGGTGGAGAACAGGTCTGTCGAGGAGACAGAGTTTTTTTATGTTTTATTTTTATTATTTTATTATTTCCATTCTACGTGACTTTACCGAAAGAACCAAGAAGATTGTTTTTACCGTCATCTATTTTGCCGACCTGTCCGCCCTCGTGAGGGTTCACAGCGGGAGCAGAGGGACAGGGTGGATCGGCGACACTCGCAAAATAGCCTCAAGAGCAGCCCTCTGGGGCTCCACTCTAGTGGAGGCCCTTCCAGCAGCAGTGGCTTGAGCAAGCAATTGCAGGGCTGCCCCTCTACCTGGTATCGTCTTTACCTTATTAAGTCTACTAATTGTACACATTACATTATATTATTCTGTACGGGTGGATAGAAAAAGTTGTATCTGATAATAATGATAACAACTACAACGATGACAAATTAGTAGCACTATTAAAGCCGTGGGCGATCTGCTTCTTGGAGCAGCCCCGGCAAAACAAAGCTCTCCGACTCTTGCCAAGTGACACCCCGAGTTGTGCTGCCCTTTACTGAAGAATACATCAAGCAATCGACACCTCCAACCCTCCAGGGCATGTACCCACCTCTCAATGGCTTTTTTGAGATGAAACATATTTAAATGTCCCTCTTGGACGAAAAACGGGCACACTTGGTCCCACAGATGAGGTTCTTGTGTTTTCGATTTTGTTTTTGTTTTAAAGGGGTAAAGATGCAGCCGTGCAACTGCTATGTCACGCTATTGCTGGCAAACATGCCTCCACTCGAGTGGGTGCTAGAGAGTGTCCTCTGCGGGGTATTTGGTCTACTCCCCGCACGCTTGGCAGACAGCTTGAAAACACGTGGGAGCACCCAAACTTTACCACGCCACACGTGACCGGCCAATCAAATAACTCTCGTGAACCCATTTGTACCGATGGATGGACAGAGGCCGAGTGGATTTAAGAAAGGCATCTGATTGGTGCAGGGAGGCCTCAGAGAGGATTGGTTACGGTCACAGAATTAAACTGATTGGAAGAGAAATTCAATTGTAAAAAGGCGGTGAAATGAGGGTTGACTGTCGGGTTAATGGTTGACAACCATTCGAGAAGCAGGACCAGGATTGGTTGAGGGGAAATAGGTTGAGCGAACCTTCGACAAAAGGGGCTCGAGGGATATGAAATGGGACAGCTCAAGGGGAAAGGGACGGTTGGAGAGAAGACGAAATTCGCGCCTAAAAAATAGTGTTCGTGTCTACAATAAAGGCTCAGAGTAAAGTAAGAACGTGTGTCGGTCGTCGTTGTTACAATACAACTGACACGTGTACCCGACAAAGCAAGAGCCAAATGAATGGGTGTGAATTGGCCTGGGTATACAAGGTTAATCGCGAATGAGTTCCAGCCGCCGTTTTATTCACCCGGCTTCGGCAGCAGAGCTCGACGCGATGACTCCTGCTGCCCCCACTTCCCACAAACTGTCTTGACTGCTGCGATTCTTGGACAAGCAGCAACCCCGTATGACAGCACGCCAAGCCAGAATCAGGAGCAATGGTATTTGACATGATGCATGTCACAGGCGGGGCAGTGGCGGAGAGGGGGGGGGAGCATTGGTGAGTGTGGGGTGGGGTAAGTGAGTGAGTGGCTGCGTGGGTGGGCTGGCTGGCTGGCTAGGTTGGTCACGGGTCGCGCTCACCTCGTGTCTGAAGTCCTGGCCCACATGCCTCGTCCGCCCCTGGAATGCCTCGACGCACATAGTCCGGAGCAAGCTGGCACGGCCGCCACCTGTGGGCCTTCCACCTGCCACCAGGCGCACCACCCACAACGGCGTCACTCGCCCCTCCGCCGTGCGTGATCACACGTCGTTCAGAAGGGATTAGCGGCGACGTGTGTTCATCACCGATACGTTTCAACTAAAATAAGAATCCCACGCTTCTTACAAATACATGTATTTGTTAAAATTTCATAAATGTATTAAAGAAAATGAAAACAATTGAAATAACAAAAATATACTGCATTCATCAATAATACTGACTGATAACCCAAAAAAAGTAATTTTGTGCAATGAAACATCTTCATCGCGGAGAGCAAGGGCAGAAAGATAAATTTACGTATTAACCAAAGATCACATGTTACACCATGGGGCTTTGAGGAAAATTGACAAATGATGAGTTTTTTTAATGAAATACGAGGAGTATTCTATTCGTAGCAATTTAGCATTAAATAAATTATTGGAAATAAAATAAAAATATAACTAACATTAAAATTAGTTCTTAAGTTACCATGTGAATGCAAAAGTGCATCAAAGCCCTGTTTCTCCCCACGAAAGTTCTACTTTGAGTTCAAATGGCATACAAGTGTTGAGCGCAAATGCCGACCAGTGGGTCAACTTGTCCTCTATCAGCTCTCGGACTGAAAAAGTGGAGTGCCACTTTAATCGGGGATCCTACCACGGGAATGTGGACCTCTACAATGAGTTAAGGATTGACAATGGCGATGAACACTGGGGTGCACACATTCAAACAAAGCATGCAAAATGCTCTGGCTTGTCTTGCTTCTCAACGCATAGCATAACAAACACTGCATTGAAAAATAAGAATAGGTTTGACCCTTTGTGGAAATCAATCAGGCGTTAAGATGTTCAAACACCAAAATAGATAGCTTTTGCAAGAAATCGAGTCTGCATTAACCACACGTACTTGTGGTGAACATGAACACAAACATGCTTTGATAGGATATGCATTGTCTTCGGAGCTGATTGGCCTTCTTTGTGTCCTAGGCTCACCAGTTTCAGACCAAAGAACGCCAAAAGGTGAACAGTAGAAAGACAATGCACGTAATAGACCACTGATAGCTCGGGTTGAGCAGCTATATTATGGGACTATTTTTTTCCCAGTATCAAAGTATGAAAATTTTTGAATAGGCTTTTCTCTTTGTGGCAATAAAACAGGTTTCAAAATGTTCAAACACGAAATAGATGCCTTGTTAAACACTACATTACTAAACATAGTATAGTAACCACACTTAATATATCATCATCACCACGATCATCAGCCATGATGGATGGCCTCCCCACGGGGTCACCCTTTTTTTCACGATCCTGCAATATAATAATCCACCTAGCACCTGTACAGGAGTCGATCTCACCCGCCCCTTCTCTCTCAGTAAGTTCTCTTGGATGCCTACGATTCCTCGGCCGTTGCTCCACCATTCTTCTTAAATATCAGCCATAATCCCTTTCAATACGAAAAATATTGTGACAGCCTCGCACGAAAATACATTCCAAGATTCATTAAACGCTTTTGTGGGATGATGTCATTCCGTGTCTAAAATCTTTAAGGGTGCAATACAAATAAAGCATTGAATGAAAACTATTTTCCCCGAGGTCTACATAAAACCCCCACCATTAGAGTCCAGTTCATTAACATTTATGACCTGCACATTGCCACTGTAATGGCTGCTACTAGCGGCACACTTTTATTACTGTGCACAAAGCACAGCTCCCTTCACGGTAAACATTATGTTCACCACTGCACACAAAAACGGCAATTTACATGCATTTGACGTAGCATTCAATTGTAGCGGGTGTCTACGTTGGTCAAAATCAACTTTTTATGTTAAACCCATTCCCCCTATAATTTGTCTACCGTTCTGGTGTTGTGATTTTTCCACCTACATTTTAGTTTTACTGCCGTAGACGTGCATGCACATTTAAATGAAGATAAAGCTGAATAAAGAGTTTTGCTCTGCAGACTTTTCTTAAGATTATGGAACTTTCACTTCGCTTTTATTGAAATTTCTGCACAACGGACTTCCCGATTTTTTTTCTCCTTTGGACGCATCACAAAGCCGCTGTGCGCCCGGCTCTTACTAACCTTCACCTCCACACACACATCCCTGAACAGATTGCACCGGATGGATTCTCTGCAGTCTATACTAAACGATATGCACAGCCACTGGAACCCACTTGCCAAGAGATTTGTTTCTGGAAGAGGGAATTTGCACCTCAAAAAAAGAGTACGTTGTGGCGACCGTCGCCTTGCAGAACAAAGCTCGGCTAAAACTTTTCAATGCACGTATGTCACCGAATAAACAAACGCACGGTTTTGAGCAATGAATAATGTATAATGGCTCTGTGGATGGCTCATTGGCCTTCTAGATATATCTACAGCTCTCCTGCCTGCTCAGCCCCAGCTGCTTCACAGCCGGAATTCCAACTGTCACGGCGCCTTAAATTGCCTCTATAAATCTGCGCACCTTCGACTTGACATGTGCCAAAGGACAATGCAGCTGGCGCTCACTTGTAGGCGTGGCAGGGCGGCCGGTCTTGGCAGTCGCGCTCCTCCTGCAGGTTCTGCGGACACTCCTTCCCGCCGTGGGATGCCTGCTGGATGACCATGCGCCAACGACGCTGCTTTTTGGGGGAACCGCCACCTGCCCATGGAGAACGCAACAGATCGTTTTTTTGTAATCTTTCTCTATTTAGCATGGGAAGACACAAACTCTGCCACGTGCGCTCGGGGTGTAATGCGTGGTGTTCGGAACATTCTACTCCACGTGCTGGGGAGCTTCTTCGGCAACCTCTTCGGGAAATGAATTTATCTCTTGAGGAAGCTCCCAGCACGTGGAGCGAAATGTCAGGTGTCATGTCGAACAACACGTGCTGCAACGCAAAAACACGGCAGAGAGTGTGACTACAAAATTGTAAAAACCTTAATATTAAGTTCAAAGTTAATTTATTAGGTATAGCCCTGTGAGCTATTCGGCTCTTGAATCGGGTGCAACCGCAACAAACAAAAAAAACATGAACAAGAAAACATCTTAAAGTGACTATGTGCAAACAGAAAATCTAAGAAAAGACAACAAAATATTGCAGAAAAAGCACCGTACACCAACCCTGTGCAAATATCCCATTGGGATGCAAGTCAAACAACAACAACCACAAGACAACTTAGATTAAGGCCATCAGTCTAACTCTGTACTACAACAAACAAACATGGCCAAACCAAAAAACTTTTTGAAAATCACCAAAATAAAGCCATAAAAGCAATGAAACAGTGGTCATAGGAACTGCGACCGAATTTTCACAATAAACGACGTGATGACTATATGAAGAAGGCCTTGCACAAGACGGAATAAATTGTACAGCGAGTGTTGAACGGACTATGTTGGAGAAGCGGTGGTGCAGCGGTCCACGCAATGCGCTTTGCACCTCGCCACCTGAGTTTTATTCCCGGCCTTGGTTATTATCAGTGGTGAGCGATGTCTGAACAGGTCCTGGGTGCCTTCTTCACCAATCCATATTAACCAGTGTGAAAAAAGTATCGAGTAGAACAACTTTCATTGCCGCTATGACATGGGAAAGCCTTTATCTAGCGGTGGATAAATGAATGTCTGTTCATTTTATTTTTATTCCATGGGAAATGTTATCGAGACTGCCAGAGAGCGAGTTCCACAAAAAACGTGACGCAAATTATGATGTCGATGAGAAGTGCATCGTAATGCACGTACAGCAGATGAGGAATTCATGTTTAACTCAGTCTATTAATGGCACACCTTATTATCGAGATGGGAGGTGAGTGGGAAAGGGATGCCGTTTTATTGGACGGTTAAAAAGTTTAACAACCAATTAAAAAGAACCAATATATGGCAACTTTTACGCGTATCGGGCAGGATTCAGCATGGTACAATATGAAGAGATCCTGTAGATTACAGTCAGGTTCTTATCTTTTAAAGTCATTCTACTTCCCATGCAGCACATTTATCAAACATTTGGATTCCTTGAATTGGACGCATGGACAGCCTCAGCGAGCTGCCTCAGCTCAAAGAGCAATTGAACCGTGTGCCTTCTGAGTGTACGCGCAAATTGCAGTACGTTTCAATGGGAACGTTTACACTCCAAGTGTTAACAATGGTTCATGCGCAAAGTGTTAACGATGCGAGTAATTGTATGCGATTGCTTACATTGCGTAAAAGGGTGCAACTTTCCTTTACTCCATCGTCAGGGGAGGCTATATATATGTGTAGTGAGTCTAACTGAGTCGCAGACGTATATTCTTCGGAGGCAACACATTTATTCACAACGCGTATATTCAACGGGGTAACTGCCCCTTTACCAGATACAGCCTAGGGTGGTGACCACCCAGCTAACTACACTACGCACAGGAGTTACAGCTACGATGGATCGGACCCTCATTCGTGTCCCGGCCACATGTCGGTGCCTCTTCAGACGTAAGACGTAGAGCTTCCAGCTTGTAGACGTAGAGCTTCCAGCTTGTAGACGTAGAGCTTCCAGCTTGGAGAGTGAAGCGACATCGGGTCCCTCTCAGGGACCCACCTTATATCCTCCCGGGTCGGGGCTGGCTCCGCCCTCGGCCCCGCCCACCTTCTCGAGCGTTCCAGCTCCCTCTCGATTCCTCTCGAGAGCTCTCCCCGGACACGTGGTCACCCCTAGCCCCCCCACCTGGGGGTCTCTCTGTGGACACTCATGATCACGTGCCTACGGGGTCAACCAGAGTCCCATGTCCCTAGGCAACCCTGCCCCTGGGCTGACACTCTCCCGCTTCCCCTTGTGGCAGCCCGCACAGCACGCTATGCATGGTGCCCGTGCTATCCCAGCGCTCACCAAGCCCCGCTAGGGCTGGTACTACACCCACCTACGGGGTGTACGCGATGACGGTGCATCATCGTACGCCGTGCTGTGCTAGAGCCGGGCTCACACAGCAACACACAAGGTGCTGTCCACGACGTAGGGACATCGCACGCCATGGCCCTCCCGGGCCGGCACCACACAGTGACATCCCCGATGTCACTACATATATGTTGGACCTCTTGCAGAGCCTGCGTGGCTAGGTCATGTAGTGTCGCGGTTTGCGCTCCACGCTAAAAAATCCAACCACCCGCGTTAGATTCCCGCTCACGGCCAACACCAGTGACGATTATCTGAACTGGTCCTCGGCCTCTCCTAGGTCGACGCAACCTCAAATGAGTACCTGGTGCGGTGTGTAAAATAATCGCCACTAGGGAGCCAAAGACAGTCGGGCTTGGTGCTGGCCACCCACCCCCTTGTGTACCATGCCAGCCTTCATAGGTTCTCGCTAAAAGCACTTGCCTCAACAATCTGTTAAGGCTACACGGGGGATCTTTGTTTGTCGTTGTTTGTTTATGTGCAGGTGATCGAATCCTATTTTCAGGTTATGTCTCCGCCAACTCATTTCTGCAATATTGTTCAATGCATGTCAGTTTAATACGAAAGGGCTCTGAAATGTTGGTTTAATAGAGAAGTTTATGCTTTTCAACGGACAAAGGTATCGCTAATTTGAATAGGCCATGGGAAATGTCATTCGACAAACACTTTTTAAGATAGGTAACCATAATGTAGGGAGACCAGGTTAAGGAAAAAAATAAGCTGAACACCTTACAATTTATAATGACTTGGGCTATCTATAATTACATCACTCCGTGTAACAATATGGGATAGAATGGTATTTGATATGGAAAAGAAAAAAAACAAGCCTTTACATTTTTTCTCCCTTCCCATTTTCTTTCCGCATATCACAATATTGAATGTATGCCCATTGACCTTTTGTAAGTAGCAGTGAATTCTGCGTAGCAGTAGAATATGCAGCAAGAAAAAGCTTGCACAGCCCAATGTTTATCATCTGATGTCACGAGTAGACGGTAAATACAAAGAGTCCCTGTCACATGGAGCAAGCAGCATGATTTTATGTATAACACGATAACCCTGGGGCACAGAAATCTTGTATTTTTTTTTTCTACAAAGAATGAGGAAAAATGAAATTATCGCTCTGCAGTGATGTGGTTTTGGAAACTTTGAAATTATTCCTTGAATTTTCACCTGCAAGTCACTCGCTGAATAGAAAAAAGAAATTACAAACTTGGCTTCTACGTGGCTTCATTAAAGCAGCCGAGAGGCGTTAAAGCGCTCTATGCCTGAGCTCCGATCTCCTAATTTCTATAAAGTAAAGAAGTCAAAGTGATTTCCTGTTCAAATGAGCATTGAGGCGGTGCTCATCTCCGGTTTGCATTCCTGAGCCAGCGGTAGAAATTCAACGATCCTAACATGGGGGCATGTCGATTAAAAGGAAAACCACTGTTGACTTATTTTACAGAGGGACTGATGGTTCAAGTCAACGTACCAAGAAGGATTTGCGACCTTTAAAGCTGAGACACCTCTCGCCAGTTCGTAGTCAGCTGTTTTTTTTTGCACGAAAGTATAATGATCAAAAAATAAATATAAATGAAACAACTCTTAATTAAGGACGCTAAATGATGACATGAAGACGTGAACAGGGATGGATGTGTAGAAGGCACGCACGCTCTTGGCAGGTAGCAGGGCATGAGCTCCAGTCGCTGAAGGGGGTGGCGATGCAATCCTTGCGGCAGATCAGCACGCACGGCCTCACCGCGTTGGGCCGCTCCTTCTCGGGGCATCTGCACCAAGACGCAAAAAGGGGCATCGTCGTCGTGGCCTCATTATTTTGACCAAGACTCACCGTCATGTCCTACGTCTGCAGCCCTGGCACCAGCGGATGCTCAGCGATGTGTCGGAAGCGTGCAATAGTCACGTCCTCTATTTAGCCAGAAAGGTTAGTCGATCGGCAGGTGGCTTGTGGTGGCGTAAAATATGAGTACTCCCACCTCTTCCAGGACAACTGGTTAGCATGGAGGAGAAAGCCAAATACCTCTGTATGAGCTTTCTAGAGATAGTGGAGGCCCTTTATCCAAACGTGGGATGAGCAAGCAATTGCAGGGCTGTCCCTTCATATTTACATATTTTTTTCCACGAAAGTCTCACTGTCTCAAGACTCTCTTTCAGTAGGGTCCTGCACTGCGATGTGAGACCAATTACATTTGTAGTGGGTTCCACGGAGGCACACACTTGACTTGGAGGCAACACTTTTATTACAATACCCCAACAGGGTTCCTACATAAACGTACACTGGTTAACTGGACTCCAACAGGGTAACTACATTAACGGGTCAGGTCAGCAAAATGTTGCCTGATCGACGATGCCGAGCTAATGACCGAAGACTGACGACCGAAGACCGAAGAGACGTAGCCCCGAGAGTTCCGTTACAGCAGACAGCCGTGATCGCTCTCGGGACTTCCCTTTTAAGCTCCCGAGTGTGGCCTTGCTCCGCCCTCGGCCACGCCCCCTTCTGGATCTCACCAGAAGGTTCTCGACTAAGCATCACGTGTCCCCCGAGTCCCCTTTTAGGCCCCCTCGCTACCCTGTCCCGGTCACGTGCCCTCTCGGGTTCACCCAGACTGTCACGTCCTTACTTGCCCTCTCTCAGACCATCACCAGAACTATGCCCCCTAGGGCCCGCTTGCATGCCATACCCACTCTGGTGCCAGAGAAAGGCTCAAGACGCACAGTTCCACTCGTGTGACAGTAGCTGGCGCTAAACACCATAGTGATTATTTACGTCACTACACATTTATGAACCTTAAGCTTTACGTGTAAATAAACTCGAGTACCTGGAGAAAGCACAAGCATTCGAGGGGCTAACGCTCAAAGCTTTCCATATATTATACATTTTAAAAAATCCTGCACTTCCCTCTGCTGGTCACCTTGCAACCTAAGCCCACAACACCTGCTACAGTATAGGCAGACATTCTCCCATCCATATACTAACCAGAATCGGCTTCCGAGAGGGTGAGACAAGGTGATAGAAAGAGCCAAATCTTCGAGCCCCATGCTGCCGTTAAAGCTCACCGTGTAAATCCTGGGGATACCGCAGTGCCCGCTTGCACACATCATGCATCCAGGAAACAGAGCATCAATTCATTTGAGAAGTAAGAGTGTGCCAGTACTGGTTCACTGCTAAAAAAAAAACAGGGTTGGCATCCATCAGCCTCCCTCCCTTGTGTGTCCTGATGCCGTGACATGCAAGGACAGTGAGAGAACCAAGCTGGGATTTGGCAGCTGGCTTTGATAATTTCCTCACTGCCCTCATTGCCCGAGGCTAATCCGCCTACCAACATTTACCGTCCGTAATGTATACTCATTTCCATTATAGCTAGCCGCAAGAAATTGTCCTCAAGTAAATAGAAGCAATTACATGTTTATTTTCCTTTTGAATTTTAGAACATATTGTTTATTATCGAAGTAGAGGCAGCCAAATGTTATGCAGGATTCAGATGTTTTAACGTAGCTGTTCCCTGCCTGATATGTTGATGTAATTTTTACTTTTATTTTCACAGTAAGTTTCTCTCGCCAAATATATATTACGTCCATTTGCCACACTTTAACATTTTTTTGCATAATTGTGTATGGAGATGTTTTAAAATAACTAATTCCGAAGACTGTGTTTTGTATAAAATACAAAAATCCCAAAAAACCACCCGTCACACCCAACAAGTTAAAGCAATGTAAATAAATGTATCGCCTCGCACATTCACGTATTTACACACGCGGAACACGGCGTGAGAGCTGACATACGCCTGCATCCAGAGGGGCGGCTATCGCCTCCCTAAACGTAGGTCATTTGCATATTCTAATTAAGGCTCACTGCAGGTATATCATTAATATTACAAACCCCAAGTGGTGTCTAATAGGGGTGTAACACTACACCGATAAGTCGAATTAATATTAATTCTTCTTGGTTCTTCCGGTAAAGTCACGTAGAAGGGAAGTAATAAAAGAATAAAAATAAAACATAATACAATAATTCGCAGCCGTCCTCACCTGAGGACGGCTGCTTGCGTTGTGGCCGAAACGTCGTGAGAATTATTTTATTTTTTTATTTCTATAATTTTATTACTTCCCTTCTACGTGACTTTACCGAAAGAACCAAGAAGATGCATCCCTGCAGTCACGAAAGCTTTAAATCGAAAATTAATATTAATTATTAAGCTTTATAATACACGACTCAAGTGCATGTATAGGAATAAATGTTTTCCAATTGGTGCATGTTGTACGTTACAGGAGCGTGCGACCACATCATGGACTCGGGGCCGCTGCAGTCAACACAACGTTCAAAAATAATCCTCTCTTGAATCTCATCATGACCCTTAATCGTGACCCCTAATCGTGGCAATTCGTGGGACCGTGCGGAGATGGGGGTAGAATCGCTACACTCTATTAGTGTGTCAGTAATGCGAGCATATTGATTCGACACGTCCGCATCCATGTCTTGTTGTTGCAATAAACACACTTTCAGAACAGTTATACAGTTTCATAGCATAATAAGAACTAACGAATGCATGTTCAGATAAATATCACAAAACATAATTGCGTATGGATGAATTTTCGGTGCTTAAATTCAGACACATAAATCCTGTAAGCAGCGTAATTTGGTTAATAAACGGAAGTGTACGTGCTAATTGCAAATATCCATTTCTATTTTGATGGTGCTGTGGACGTGCAGTAACAAATGAGGCGTTGGTTCACTCTTAAATGGGATGGAACACCTGCCGTCTGACTTTAAATGGCCAGGTAATTTGGATACATGCTAATCTTGATAAAGTATGTTGAATTACATCGTAAATATATATTCGTGAGGAGTGGCTAAAAAGTATGAGGATGATGTTGAAAATGTGAAAATTATCGCTTCACGTTTGTGAAGCAAAATGGTTATGCACGATACTGTATTCTTTGCGAATATGACTTAGCACAGCCTAGATGCTGGTCAAGAATTGAGAAAAGATTTAAAATTCCAGTGGTGTAATTTTTTCACTATGTTTCTGCTTTTTTTTCTTCCACATTATTCTTTAAAAATACGGAAAATGATGACACCACATGAAACAGAAATTAGTTTTAATACGAAAATGACAAATCATATTACTGTGTAGATTGACATTACAATTTAATACGCAGCAAATGAGGGATTGTACTGTAATTTAAAGCATGTTTTTCATGATGCCTGGCACAAACAGCAAATGTGGTCATATCAAGCTTGTCAAATAATGCGTAATGCTATTTTGTAAGTAAAATCCAAATATGTAATTTATCATAACCATTTCTCCAATTACTCGATATTTGTTGCAGGTTTGAACTATGTCGTAACGTATTAGGATTATGTGGACACGTGTGTTTATAGATAATATGTATTGCGTTATGCATGTGTTGATGTATGACCAAGGACTTGTATACTGTACAGTATACGAGGGAAAACAGACCTTATACATTCGGTATGAGCTGTCTAGAAGACTTTTGATCAACTCTTCATATCTCCCCCCCCCCCCTTCGTTAGCAAAAAAAAAGAACACCCAGGAGATTGGGAAAAAAAACTAAGTGTATGCATCTGGGAAAACCAATCCCTGCCACGGGACAGATCACATGGTAGACCGTGGCACCCTTGAGATGGCTCAAAGACTTGTGCCAACATCACGAACAATGCCTGTGGCACATGTACTTTTGATAATTTATTGAAGCAAATAATTGCGCAGTCGAATTATTCAACAAGTATAAAAAAGTACATTTTCGCTTTTTCGTTAGTATTGTTCACGAGAGATTATCGTTATAATTATGATTATTCTTCCTGCTATTTTGACAGTAGTTACTCTAAGTGCTGGGCAAAATTATTGTTTGGTAGGGCTGAATTAATATTTGTAATGAATATATATTTTAATGAACGTATAAAAAAAAAAGGTTGTCTCTACATGCAAGACTGACGCGCTCAAGTACACTGGTCCACTGGTGACGTCAGTCTGCCACGTGCTCTGCTTGTGGTTATGGGTGGCGGATGTGGCCCAGCGGTAGCGTGTTCACCACTTGCTGCAGAGGTATATGGTTCAAATCCAGCGGCCGCCCTGGTTATTACTGTGTGGGTGTAGTGAACATAATGCTGCTTCTAGATTTGAAGCTTTCGTGACTGCAATGATTCATACTCTTAGGTTTTTTTGGTAAAGTCACGTATGTTAAAAATAGAAATAATAATAGAAATAAAATAATAAATCATGACATTTCGGAGGCAACACAAGTCTCCGTCATCAGGTGGGACCGTTACAGCTGTATTGGCCGTGTTTGAAAAATGCAACCTGGCAAATAGGTGTGGTGGTAACAACACTAAGTCCCGTTAGCCGCAGCCACCCATCGTCTATGTGCATAGCAGTTCTTCACATGTAACCCCAGGCATGCTTTCATCTTCTATTCATTAGTGGAGCATACATTTTCCATAACACAGCAAGATATCTTCTAACTGCCTCACTTTGTTTTAATAAGCTACACATTGAGGCAAGGCATGCATTATGCAGTAATATTATGCGAAGTACATACTTGCATGCATATTGCATACATGTATTCGCATTGTTCTCAGCTGCCAGAATGAATTAAACGTGACCAGCGCCACTATCTTATGGCATCTTCCGCTCCACGGAAAACGTCTGCAAGTTTTGTCATGCGGCTCTAAAAATACATAATTGTATTGGCGGTCAAGCCAAGAATGCCAAAATAAATAAATAAGAATTAGTATGTGAAATATGCGCAAATAATTACGTAAAAAAGAGCTATGTGCATGAGTAAATTAATACATGCTACAATGTTTGTGGACAAAGCAGACCTATGTTGAAGTCATGTTCTGAAACCCTTATCATCATCAGCATCCGCCATGATATATCCACTGCTGGATGAAAGAATTTCCAAACAAAATGCCATCCATGGATGGTAATCTTCAGCGAAACGTCGTATAAAATTGTCATCGTTTCGCTTGGCCTTTTCAATATTCCGGTTTTGCGGAAGTACCAAATCAATTGGCACATTTGCCCATATGGCGACTTAATTTGATTGGCTCTTTCAGGTGATGCAGGGTAATTGTTAAAAGTGTACAAAATAAATTATGTCTTATAATATCGGTCGTGAAAGTCTACGTATAAAATCTGATTACTTTAATCATACATTTTTACAATGTATAATCGTATGTTTACCCGATAATCATTATGGTAGTAAAACAACAACAACAATAATGCTTAAGCTTTAATAACCCACATAACCAATTTGTGCAAAGCTGGAAAGGACCACATTATTTAGGTTTGACTATTTTTTTTATTTTTTGCTGAGAATTAAGTTATTAATTGCCTTTGAGTGTGTCTATGTGTGCCAGAATAACTGAAATCCAGCATGTCAAGCAATATTTTCTATGTGATTTATAAGATTTTTGTTAGATGCCATTAAAACCTTGCCTTTTGTGATTAATAGTATAACGATAGTACAGAAAGGAATCTTCGGTGTCTGGCTAGTCAATACATTTGTTTTAAAGGCTCATGCATATTATGAAATTGACACCTTCAACAGTACAAGAGTATTTCTGAAATAAATCTTTAGTCCTTAATTAATCATACATATTTTAAAGTTCCTAGCACATGATGACACTGAAACATGTAGAAAAAAAACCCCCTCCAAATGCTGGCATGGTATTTTATGACAGCTTCTAGATTTGAAGCTTTCGTGACTGCAACGATTCATACTCTTAGTTTTTTCGGTAAAGTCACGTAGATAAAAAATGAAATAAAAATTTACAAAAGTAATAATAGAAAAAAATAGAAATAATTCTTTTTTTTCTATTATTACTTTTAAAAATTTTAATTTCATTTTTTACCTACGTGACTTTACCGAAAAAACTAAGAGTATATATTTTAAGCCAGCGTTTAATAGACATCCGTTGAAGTATTTGGGAAGCTTACTTCTTGGTGCCGACCTGCCCAATGCCAATCCGCATGCAGATGACTTTTCGACTTTGGATGCCGGACGAGGAGCAGGAAGGCCCGTCGTGTGGCGAGGACGAAACGCCCACGTGGGCAGGCGTGGCTCCTCGGGTAGAGCCCCCAGCCGGGGCAGGGCGGGCCGCCCTGAGGGAGGCGTTCCTGGGCGGGGTGGAGAGGTCCTCTGTGCAAGGCCCCCAGGAGCCGGCCTGCCAGTGGTAGACGGTGCAGGGCACCTGGGCACATGGCTGCCACTCCTGCAGCTCTTGGCCCTCCCCAGTACACGGAGCGCCACCTGACATGAAACAATGTATAAAAAAGAGATGTTAAATTTCGATTTAAAGCTTTCGTGACTGCAGGGATTCATCTTCTTGGTTCTTTCGGTAAAGTCACGTAGAATGGACATAATAAAATAATAAAAATAAAACATTACAAAATAATTACTTTATTATGTTTTATTTTTGCGTAGAATGGAAATAATAAAATAATAAGAAAAACCACAATAAAATATTTATTTTATTACGTTTTATTTTTATTATTTTATTATTTCCATTCTACGTAAAAATACAACATAATGGAAATAAAATAAAACATAATAAAATAAATATTTTATTGTGGTTTTTCTTATTATTTTATTATTTCCATTCTACGTGACTTTACCGTAAGAACCAATAAGAAGAGATGTTAAAATATTTATTTAGATTGGAGGAATCTGATGAGCTATGAAACTCTTCTTCACACATGTTCAGTAAGGGGTGGGTCAGTAAGTTTAGTACTTACTCGCTAAACAACAGTGTGGAGCTGTACGGGGGATCGAGGTAATGGTGCGCATGGGATTGAGAGCACGTTACTATCAAATATACTTTCAGCGATCCACTATTAAATTGTATAATGTACACAAGGTGAACAGCACCTGCACCCACTGATGCTAATACATTATTTATACCCAACCGTTGCCGTGCAGGTGGGAAAACATGTCGGCTCGCTTCGCTCAACGCAGAGTCAAATTGACAACATGTGTTGCGTCTCGCGAGGGTGAGCCCACAGTGTATGCAGGTACCACAAACTGCTCTGTGCATATGCAAATTGAATGCTATAATCATAGCTGTCAAGTTCCTGAAGAAGTTCCCCAGCATGTGGAGTGAAACCTCAGCCATCAATGCCAAACAATGTGTGGTACAATCCGAAAACACATCGGAGGAGAGGCCTAAAGCACAGCCGCGAAAGCCTATGTGGTATATATAAGTCACAATATTAAGTCATACCAAGGTATCCTTTCTGCTATGGTGCGGTGACTGCAGGAAAAGAATATTGGTATTTTTGAAAACTCATGACGCATATTCGCTTTGACGGAATGAAAAATTGCTTTGAATGAGGCAATGTCACGAGTTTAGCATTTAAATAGTAACATCAAAAACAATCACTTCGTTATTTGCATTTTACTATAAAGTCTGTCGATATACAAAACACTGCAATACAGTCGTGCTGAAAAGACTGAGAAATGTAATTTTTTCCTCAAATAATAATTTAAAATATTTCTACTTGTGTACTTTATGATTTAAGTAAAAATTTAGACATTTAAATATAAAATCCACATTGTGTGCCGTAGAAAGTCAGCTTAAGCTTTAATTCAGGAAGGATACGCATTTTCTCCAAAATAATCTGACATTAATGTTTAAAAAAATAGATCTACACCAAAAAGTAATCCTTTAATACTATCCCCTATATTAGGACTCAGACAGTCAATGGGCAAACTAAAAAACAACGAGTGGCTAGTATTAGCACTAATGGTGCCCTGTACCCAACAGTGAGGAATTCCGCAGCTCTGTCGATGGTTTGGTCTTGAAACATTTCAGCACCAGTGAGGAAAAAACAATAACGAGTTGCCAAATATATGTAATATAAAATGCAATGGTAAATTCGTACCCTGAAAAATTATGTTGGCACGGTTGGATATGTATGGTGCAAAAGAAATTCAACATAGATACATATAAATTGCCCAAGACAGGGAGAAAAAGAGTGACCAATTTACGCATCCATGAAATGGTCCGACAAATGCCAAAATTTCGTGAGATATGCACTGCATGTAAAATTCGAAATTGCTGTCCCAACTCATTCACATTCCTCCGTGTGTCACGTCCACACCACTGTTAGTAGGAGGTGTAATGATTTCAGCGTCTTATCAATTCAGTGACTTTTCCGCTACTCTGGGTCACAGTTACAATTCATGAAAAACATGCGTTTTTTTACTTATAACTTTTGTGACTGCAGGAATTCATATTCTTTGGTTCTTTCCGTAAAGTCACGTAGATAAAAAAAAGTGAATAAAAATATCACGACGTTTAGATCGCAACAAAAGTGGTCGTCATCAGAAACATGAATTAGCCTCTAAAGGCACACTATTCATAAAGGTTTGGAGATGGATGTAGCCCACATGTATCAGCAGTACCAGCAATGCCAATGCAGCAGCAATGCCAATGCAGCAGCAATGCCAATGCAGCAGCAATGCCAATGTAGCAGCAATGTCAATGCAGCAGCAATGCCAATGCGGCAGCAATGCCAATGCAACAGCAATGTCAATGCAGCAGCAATGCCAATGCGGCAGCAATGCCAATGCAACAGCAATGCCAATGCAGCAGCAATGCCAATGCAGCAGCAATGCCAATGCAGCAGCAATGCCAATGCAGCAGCAATGCCAATGCAGCAGCAATGCCAATGCAGCAGCAATGCCAATGCAGCAGCAATGCCAATGCAGCAGCAATGCCAATGCGGCAGCAATGCCAATGCAACAGCAATGCCAATGCGGCAGCAATGCCAATGCAGCAGCAATGCCAATGCAGCAGCAATGCCAATGCAGCAGCAATGCCAATGCAGCAGCAATGCCAATGTCGCAGCAATGCCAATGCAGCAGCAATGCCAATGCAGCAGCAATGCCAATGCAGCAGCGATGCTAAGGGTGCTGCTGCATTGGCATTGCTGGTGCTGCTGATAAACTTGGGCTACGCCCATCTCCAAAACCTTTATAAACAGTTTGCCTTTAGAGGCTAACCCCTTTTCCTGATGACGACCGCTTGTGTTGCGATCGAAACGTCGTGATATTTGTATTCACTTTATTTTTATTACCATTTTTCTATCTACGTGACTTTACCGAAAGAACCAACGAATACGTGGCTTTTAACAATGCAGTTAATGGTAGCACCTCTGGTTGCTGCAAGGGTCACACGAACCTATTACGTAAAATATTTAAGATGCGACTAACACCATGAATTCCTTAGCATGCGATATGACTCGTGTATCATGATCTGAATAATCAATCATATTTGATTAATTGATCCATCCTTATACTCATATTGGCGAGTGGTTCGTGAAAGCTAAGGGAATATATTAACTCGGTCTCATGCGTTAACATTTATATGGAGAAAATGTTCAGTGCTTGGCTATGCAGTTGAAAATGCAAAATGCAAAAGAATACAACGCAGAGTAAATGTGTGTGGATAGCCAAGCCTTTGGGGGCTATTAATAAGTTATGCGATTTGGATTACGATTCTCAATTAATGAGACAAATATTGTCCCTTATAATGTGGTGTGTTGGGGAGCAGCGGTGCAATAGTTAGCGCACTGAGCTATGAACCTGACTACCTGAGTTCAATTCCCAGCCGTGGCTAACATCAGTGGCGAGTGACACCTGAGCTGGTCTTGGGTTATCCCCCCCCCCCCCCCCGCTTCTCACCAACACGAACTGATCAGCGCAGTGAAATATGGCCACACAACCCCCGTGACTGACACAGTGCGAGTGGGGCTCCATCCAGCAGTGGATTGACAAAAGACTGAAAATTATTTTTAGCGCGGTACACAGTTGATAAGATATACGCACGCACGCGTAACACACACAATTGATTATTTATACACACACACGCAAACACAATAATCACGTAAAGTGTTATTGACTGGTGGGAGCAAGTGTTGTTCGTGAGAAAAATTTGCCGATATTGCATACAAGACACAATGGGGATGTGTGGCCAGAACCACACCTGCCTACATTTATATACTTCTTGGTCATCTAAATACACAAGTAAGTAAGAACATTTGATATTGCGCACTCTTATGAGTCGAGTCCATCACTAGTGTGCCAGATACTCATTTAAGGCCGAGTCAACGTAGGGGAGACCTGAAACGGGGTTCAGGTACCACTACGTCTTCGACGTTAGTCGTTGCCAGGAGCCATTGTGTTCAAGCCACTGCACCGCCACTCTCCGCACGTGTATAGATAAACAACTAGATACTTACACATTATGCATAATCGATTACAGAGAAGTGTGCAAATCACAAACTTTACCACACGGACACTGAAATTAAATACAGCTCCTTTCTAGATTTGATGCTTTCGTGACTGTAAGGATTCATATTCTTAGGTTTTTTCGGTAAAGTCACGTAGGTAAAAAATTAAAATTAATAAAAGTAAAATAAAAAATAAAATAAAAATCACGATAGCTATCGTGCTGTGACGGTTCCACCTGAAGACGGAAGCTTGTGTTGCCTCCGAAACGTCGTGATTTTTTCTTTTATTTTTATGTTTCACCTACGTGACTTTACCGAAAAATCCTAAGAATACAGCTCCTTTGTTTAAGCACTGACAATTGATAGCCTCCACATGCTGTGTCGGTCAGGCTGGCGTTGTTTGACCAGAGTGGTATCCAGGACCGGTTCAGATATCATTGCCACTCTCAGCCGTGGCCAGAAGTCCCGTGGCCACTTGTGCCGCCGCTCCCACCGCCACCGACACTGACCCAGAGAGATTCAATCATGTATTCTTGGCACAATTTCTTCACGCAGGATGATGAAGACCATCACCATGTACAGCAGGAACTTATTGCAAGCTGGTTAATTAAGGAGTGCCACATCGCGAAGGGGAGTTTGATAGAATGACAGTATATTCAATCACTTTATCTCTTAAGCAGTGCGTTGTGACATTGTGGCATTGTGCGCAATCGTTAAATGCCGCCACGGTATGAACTTAATCGGGGATACTTTGAATAAAAAATAATTGCTGCCCTTTAAGTGACTATACATTTGATAACACAATTACGATAAAGAAGTTTTTTTTTGCAATATGTTAATGTATTCATATTCAATACGCTTTACATTTTTAAATACTTGGAGTAATCCAGTTGGGCTCCAAGTAAGCTTGAAATAATTACATTTTAAAAAACAAGAACCTTCATAAAAATCTAATAATTGCAGTATGGGAATAATTAATCGTACGAATACATTTTAACTAATTAAATGTTAAGCCGCTAGATTCCCTTGGGATAGCCCACACCCTAAATGTATTATAAAGCGCGGTGTCCCGCTATTCTCCATGCGTCTTTTGCCTTCTAACCAATTCACCTGGGAGACTGCATTATCCGCTTGGCTGTTTAATAACCTCTGCATTTGCCTGCAGTGCCCACTTACACTAAGAAATGGGGCCATGCTTGACTGATCCGCTTTTTATAAACTGCTAAAGCGGAATTGTGTTACTTTATTGGGATGTGCCTTTGTGTAAATGAGATAGAAATTGCGCCTGATAAACAAACCCCACTCCAGAAATGTTGATATTTCTGGCATGACAGCTCGTATATTTTCAACCCTTTGCGATTCCACTTCTGGACGAAGGCCTCCGCACGCTGGGTCCGTCATAGAGGGTTTTGACCTCGCTTCACCTGCTTGGTTGGGGTGAGTTTGTGTAGAGGAGGTGGGTGGGGCCACTGATGTTAGCCGTGGCCAGGAATTGAACCTGGGTTTCCGTGTCAATAGCGCAGTGTACTAACCGCTGTGCCACCACTCAACTCCCCCCCACCACCCCCTCCGCCCCAATTTCCAATTGTGCCTTTGTGCAAATGAGATATAATGGGCCGTTCATAAATGACGTCACGCGATTTTGGACGATTTTTGACCACCCCCCCCTCGTCACACGTGTCACAAAAAGTCAGACCCCCCCCCCTCAAATATGACGTCACAAAGCTCTGCCCCCCCCAAAAAAAAAACATGCTTCAAATCGCTTTAAACTATTATCATTGTAGTACATATCTAATGTGCTGCTGCACTCTGATGTTGTAGGAGAAAACATTTATTAAAAAAATCTATTTAATTAAGTAGAACGTGTTGTCTATATTTATTCAAAGTTGCGCATTTTGATGTGACGTCACATTTCTCAACCCCCCCCCTCCCCTCGTCACACATCGTCACAAATGTCTGACCCCACCCCCCTCCCCCAGGTGCGCGACGTCATTTATGGACGGCCCCTAAATCAAAATCTAAGAATGGCAACTCAAGCTTAAACCACGCACCGTCGGAGGGATGGGCAAGCACGGCCCTGCCACGGCTCTGTCGACCTTCGCCTGACTTCCCCGAGCAGGTGAACGAACACGGAGACCAGTCGGACCACTGGGCGAGCACGCAGTCTCCGGGACAGGGCACCCGGCAGGGCAGCTTGGCAGGGGGCTCCGCTCGGCCAGAACACAGCTCCCGGGACACCTGCTCGCCTGTGACCGCACAACAATAGGCAACGTCAACAATAGGCAACGTCAACAATAGGCAACGTCAACAATAAGCAACGTCAACAACAGGCAACGTCAACAATAGGCAACGTCAACAATAGGCAACGTCAACAATAGCCAACGTCAACAATAAGCAACGTCAACAATAGGCAACGTCAACAATAGGCAACGTCAACAATAGGCAACGTCAACAATAGGCAACTTCAACAATAGGCAACTTCAACAATAGGCAACGTCAACAATAGGCAACGTCAACAATAGGCAACGTCAACAATAGGCAACGTCAACAATAGGCAACTTCAACAATAAGCAACGTCAACAATAGGCAACTTCAACAATAGGCAACGTCAACAATAGGCAACTTCAACAATAAGCAACGTCAACAATAGCCACCGTTCGCCACCAAGAGAAGGTGACGCGCTACCACAGCGCTCGTGCCAGGCTGCGTGCACCTTGAGGCCACTGGAAGGTGGTGAGAGGACAGACTCAGGTTCTCCGGGTTGATTGACTGAGTTGACTGGAGACCACAAGGGAGGATGGGGCTGGATTGAAACTGTACATGCTGAATACATGTCATAAGCAAATGCCTATTCCCGCATATTAAATACAGTACAATAACAAAATAAATTTTATTAATCGGTGTACATTTATTAAGGATATAGCATAATCTATGTTTATAGAACAACTGTAATGTTTGCCACGACCTCGGGGGAGCCAAACGGTCCGACTGTGTTTGGGGAACCACAGCCACATCGGCGTAATCTTTAAAAGTCTCAATTTGAATGTTCAACCATTGTTGATTCTAACTAACCCAGGCCCTTAAAGCCAAACAAAGGGTGACATGGCAGAGCTAACATAATCTTAACAGAATCTAGTTATGCCTCCTACAGAATGCGGTGTAAAAGATTAAGTGTTATTATTAGTCATTTCAATTTCCCGTTTAGGATAAGGATTTATTACAAGGCTACAATGGTTTCCTTTTTTCTAAATCACACGCGTAATGTCAGTGAATGTATTCCACTAGCATCCACCTGCCCGAACCTCAGGTGACAGCTCGTTACTCTTGAGGTGCCTCAAAGACAGAACCTGCGGCATTGGAACATTTCCAAACCATTGCCAACAAATCTAATCTTGAGTTTTGTAATGGAAATTCGCTGACGCAGAACACAGTAAAGTATTTTTTTTTCATAATACCAACATTTATGTCAAACTGTGGCCGCAGTTACCGTATGGACAAAAAGAAATACCCGCTATGAAACAATTTCGAGCTGTAACCCAATATACCAGCTTGTACACGTTGCATACTAGACACTGACAAATGAAAGAACCTCCCAAATCTGATAAAGCTGCCCCCATAGTAACAATATTATTTTAAGGCAAAAGGAAATGAGCATCGGCGTTTTTTGTTGTTGTGGCAAACTCTGATAAAGTTTCACCCCCGATTGCCCATCCAATTGTTTGTGACTTCAGAAGTGCTGGAGTCGTTCTTTCACAGCATCGCCTGCTGATCTTCGCTATGAAAAGACTGCTGTCATTGTCTGTGTCGCTAGATGCATACCCCACGCTAGAGAGTTCGAAGACACTGAGAGAGGCATGACGTTTTAACACTTGTATATATTTGTTATAACCGCTGTTCCTGTGCCCGCTCAATAACCCAATGCACATCAAATTACTGTAGAAAGCACAACAAAAACTACCTAAAAGATATACACATACTTAGACCACAAAAGGGAACTCCAAGTTGTACATTTTATTCTTTCTAGTGCAAGAAAGGTCACGTTTTTTTATTAGATGTGTCTTGAGCAAAAATCGTAGATTTTTATCACTTCAATTGGTGCCACTGAATGAGGAAATCAATGCATGGAATCATTCGATCAATATAGTTTCTTTAATAATGGAGAGGTCGTTTAGATGCACTATCTATTTTGTCAATGTCAGGGTGCCTTCAAGGATTAGGGAGAGAAATCTATCTGCAGTTGCATTTCTCGACATTCCTTATTTTCTTTTAAATGTACACTAACGTGCCAATATACTGTGAAATGATAAAGCTTCGTTTGTGATGACGTCTGAGCAAAATCAAACTTTGGAAAATCATAGCTTGCTAACAAATCTGGCGGTGCGCAATTAAAAATGCGTGAACAGGATCTGCTGTGAGGCACGTGTTCACTGTAGCGTGTAGACATCCTCATTTATTAAGCATCTGAACAATGCGAGCGAGCACAACATTAGTAACAACTTTGCATGAGACAGCCTTCTAAATCGTCTCAGAACACGGCCGAATACGTGTCAACTGTGGAGATTGATCAACTTTTGTGTCGGGGCCGTATGGATTGTTGCATGGCAAGACCATGCGAGATGGATTGTGGGAGACCTTCATCAAGCAATGGATTGATCAGAGCTGTTGATGACAATTTCACAACACGATTTTGGACGTTGTATACAATTATAATTGTAATTATTGGGCACTCATTATTGAGCACACATAAGGTGTCATGAACACATCCCACACATACATTTCATTCAGTACATTATTACATCACAGTAGTAAGAAGGGCTTTTAATCACGATTGTAGCTTCATTATATAAGCATTATTCTTTATCCCTGTGAAGATTATAACCTTCAAATAAATAGCGAAAGAATGTGCTCATGACTTTGGATATTTTTGTTTACCAATGTCGAAAACAAAATTTTGTTCGGGAAATTCACAGAACCGCGAAGCTATCAGTTTTAACCCCCTTCAGCGATGTATGCTTTTACCTATCCACTCAAAACTCTCTCCGAATGCACGAAAATCGGTAGGAAAGTTGTGACTCCTGTATTTCCCTAGAGCCGTCCGTACGAGTAGCAAACAACAAATAGGCTGCGGGATCGTCAGCATGAAATAACAATATCTCAAGTGCACTCGCTCCACAGCAAATATTTTAAAACCAAGAGAGCATGTCTAATGTAGACGAGCTCTAGAAATCATAGCGATACCCTAGGTGATGTGGCTAAGCACATCATGAGGCATTGCCTATGGCTACTATCAGCTACTAATAACTGTCAGCACACTCCATACTACGGTACACCCCCGTGCTGCCACTCTTGTTTAAACTCGCTTCTACTGCTGAGCATTTAGGCACCACAGTGGCACATAGCGTAATGTGTGCGGACAAAATCATGGTGACCTCACCAAAACATGTACCGAATTTCCTTTCTTCAGGCAAATGGTCCGCAAATGGAATATTTGGGCAAATGGCATGAACAAACACTTGTAGCTAATGTTATGACGAGGGACATTAGAATACCATTCCGGTGCCCAGCACTCAGTACTGGAATGGTGTTGTAAGGTTCATAGTTGGGGCGTGACGGTGACCGCTGTATGAATAACTGGACAAGTGAAGAAACAATATAAATGAGATGGAAAAAACTGACGGTCAAACGATTACGGAATCGTTATCTAACTCCCGAGTCATGAGAATTCATTGAATTGCGTGATAAGTCAGAACCCTAAATGTGCGATGAGACAAGGGTGTTAGATACCACTTCCTTTTGCAAAGACACCCACTTTGTTGAGAATTGAAACCAATATTTTAACGTTACATTGCTCGTGAAAAATTATGATCGTCTCCACGTGTTTTAGAATTTTATTTTTTCATTACAAATTGTTACCCATCGCATGCAGTTCCAAAGTTGTACATCCTCTAAAGGGAAATGCCACAGGTATTACATTCATAATCATTTCCTTAACTGCTGGTCTAGGCAAGTGCTCAAAGAAAGGAAAATTGGTTAGCATGCACACATTACACGGGTGACTGAACTAAACACGACAAGAACGTGAACTGAAGCCGCACTTTTTGTACAGCATCCGGGACATAGTAATATAATATTTTACAACTGTGGTTTCGTGGGAAGAGAGGGGGAATTTCGATTTTATGTAGCACTGCTTCAGCCTCGAGTTGTTCTTAAGGTGACAGAGATTTTGTTACAGGCCTGGCATGCTCTCGACGATAAGTGTATAAGTCCTGCCAGTCCAGCGTTAATGTTTGGGAAATAAATTAGTGACGGAAATATTTATAGAGAAAGCATTTTCAATATGTATATCCACACATGAGTCAACGATGGCTGCGAGTAGACACAATCGTAAAATACCTTCACAGCTCATCGGATTCCTCCAGTATAAATAAATATTATGATTCGGATTCTGAAAGCATGCCGATGAATAAAACTACTAACCAAAACCAAAGCACGACTGCTGCCATGAAGAGATGAAATTATCGAGTCTGAATGAATATGTAGGCTCAAGTCATTTAGGAACGTTATTCGAAGTTGCGGTGCACTGCAGAAAATCATAAACGGTAATTGGCTCAATAAGTATAGAAAGAGATGTTCTGAGTTCATGCATTGGCCGACCTGATAATATTGGGTGGTGGTGGTGGAGGGGGGACATTGCATGCTTCTCACACCAACGTTTCATAGCCAGGAGTGGACTCCGTATTTTGGCTGATTTATCGCCTCGACTAAGCGGGATGAATGACTAAAACTAAATCCACTCGGACTTGAATGAAATTCTACCGGTTGTCATCGAGTGCAAGACTTTAACTAAAATGTTTATTACTTATTAAATTGCCATTGCCAGGCTCACATCCCAAGCAGCAAGGCGCGACTGGCCAGAACGCACCTCCGATTAGCCCGGTTTCCATCGTCGCAAGATATTGTGCTCTTACGAATATCACAGTCATGCCAGGTGTACTTATTGAAGTATAATCACGCGAGTTTTTATTGCACGATTACTGAAATATTACTCCTGTGAAGACAGCATTTAGTTTAGGTCAATTCCTTTTTCCGGGTATCATTTATCATAACTGATCGAGCTCAATTTGGTCTTGAGAACTCTACTAAACATAACCTCTTTTGCATTGCTGAAGATTGCTTCATGCTTGTCTGCACCTTTTTTGTCAAAGGAAAGATACATCAGATGATAACACTGGTTGTTTACGTGTTA